AATTGCCATGGGAGCGTTGCCTGTTGTAAAGGTGTGTGGCTTGGGGGGGGAGGGGAGGGAGGGGGGATGGGGCCGGTCACGTCACGATTCGCGCCACCGTCGTCTTGGAATGCCTGGGGATGGCCAGTGCCCGCGCGCCGGCGCGAATCGTGACGTGACCAGGGGGTAGAGGGGGGGGGGGGGGGGCCCGGGGGGGGGCCAGTCACAGACACTGCGTCGCGAAGAATGGGAAAGGTGGGTCCTGGCCCTGCCCGCCGCCCCTTCCTCGTGCTCCTCCCCTGCCTCGTGGGCGGAGAGACGTATATGCGCACCCGTGGCCTCGCGGGCCTGGCCCCTGGGCCGCGACCCCGTGGATTTCTCGCGGATGCTTCGCGCGGAGCGTATCCGCGCGACCGCATGGCCGTGGAATCGCGCTCCAGAGTCCAGGCCGCAAGGGCGCGCGGACGCGGACATGTTTGCCGCTCGTGGCTCCCCCTCGCGCGATCACGCCCGCAGGACGGGGTCCAGCGCGTCCGCGCCGCAGTGCCCCCCCTCGGGGTGACGACAGGGGGGGATAGGCACACGGGGGGGGGGGGCGCATCGACACCCCATCGCCCATGGATCGCCCACAGGGGCCCGATAGCCCCAGCTTGCCCAGGAACGTGCGGATTCACCATCGGGGGCGCATCACAGATCCATCGGCGACGTTTCGCCGACTCCAGGCCGACGTCTCCCCCCGCTATGCGCTGCGCCAGTCCCCCCCCCTGTCGTTGCCCCTCGCCCCTTCGCTCCGCGGGGCCACCGCGCGGCGCGGATGGCCGCCTCGGGAGCTGCCGTGCGGCGGGGGGGGGAGGGCGGCGGCGGCGCCGGCGTCGGCGGCGGCGGCGAGGAGGGGGAGGGGGAGGAGGAGGAGGAGGAGGAGGAGGAGGAGGAGGAGGAGGAGGAGGAGGAGGAGGAGGAGGAGATGGGACAGGCCTGCCTCCCCCGATGTCCCGGCGACGCGGAAGGAGTCGCGGCCGCAGGTTCCTGGCGGGGGCTGGGGACGTCGAAGAACGGCTCAGGGTGGAAAGCCGGTCCCCGGGAAGGGGTCCAGACGTTTTGGCGAGCCGCGCTGCGAACGAAACGCGACCTCAGATGTCTGGGCTCTCGGAGGTTCGCGCGGAAGTTCTGGTCTGTTCTGGGATGTGCTCTCGCCTCGGGATGCTTGCCAGTAGCCGCGCCTCGCCGAGGTCGTTCCTCGAGGGCTCCTAGATGGGATCGGAGCCCGATCTGCTTCACGTCGACGTCGCTGATACATCGCCGACGTCGACGATACATCGCCGGTGGCGGTGCATCGCCGGTGCATCGCCGATGCATCGACGATGTATCGGCGATGCGGCGCGATCCTCCGACCCCATCTACTCGAACCCCATCTAGGAGGCCTCTGCCGAGGTCGTCTTGGGTGTGCCCGAGTCGTCCCGGACGGCCGTCGAAGGCCTGAGTCATGACACCAGTGCCGACCTCCTCACGTCGATGGACTCCAGGGGCCTTCCGAGGCCTCTAGAAGTCCTCCGGGGTCCCCAAGTGTCCCCGCAAGCCACTGGAGGCATCCAGTCAGAGGAGGAAAAGGTACCCATACCTCTACCACTTCGCCCATTTTCCTTTTTTTCGGCCTCCTGGGACGCCCTCGTCGGCCTCGCTGGATTCGCCTCGAAAGCCTGTTCAGAACGCACCCCGGGAGAGGTCCGGAGAGGTCTCCCCATCCAGAGGCCCCAATAGGGCCTGATGAACTCATCCTGGGGCCCAGACTGTGAATTATTGCAGCCATCTGCGCGGCGCGGTGCAGTGCAGGGTATAATGCAGATCAATGCCAGGCAGTGCCAGGGCGAACTGCGCAGCAGTTCAAAGCAAGGCAAAGCAAGGCAGAACAAGGCAAGCCAATGCAAGTCAGAGCAATTGCAAGCGGCAAGGGAGCGGCGCAGGGCGGCAGCGGGGCGGGTCCGAGCCGAACATGCAGAAAGCAGATTCAGACCTTTTGAAGCAACTTGCGGTAGGTTTGCGTCGTGTCGACCAGCGGCGACCCCAGCGCGGACGTTCAAGGTTGAACGCCGCCGGCGACCCAGAATCGATCGATGTTGAACGATCGGACGTTGCGGCAGCGGCCGATCGTTCAAGGTTGAACGATCCCTGCGGTGTCAAAAACCAACGCTGGGGTCGGCACGACACGAACCTGCCGTAGCCACCTCAGAACCTCTCAGCGGAAGCACTGTTCTTGGAGAAGACTCCGTCGAAGGACCTTGCCCCTCGATCCTCGATCCTCGAGACACCTACGTGCAGGAGCTTCGGCTCAGCGTGTCGCGCCGCAGGTTTTGGCCCACCACGCTTCGACGCGACGCGCCAACCACGCCCCCATTTCCCAGGCGTCAGAGTCCCGAGCTCTTCCCAGCCTCCTGCCACGCGGGGCTGAACGACATGCAATCCACTCGCAGGGCAGATCGTGTCGCTTGGGCGGGGCCGCCGCGACACGCCAAGGAACAGTTGCTGACCGTATCCTTAAGACATGATCCGTGGTCATTGACCCTCGATCCCCGTGCCTCAACACATCGATCCTCGAGACATCTATCCTTGAGACCATTCCATCTTCTGTTTGATTTCATATATCCGCAGTCCCAGAGCTTCCGGCCCCTTCCCTGGTGCAGCCTTGTGTCCCGGATTTCTGTTTGATGTTCCCAGGGCCCGAAAGCGGCCCCCAGTGGCCGAAATGAAGACACAACGCCGCGATTGAAAAAGCATATCGTCGGAGGTCTACCAAGAGAGTCAATGCGGGGCCACTGGAAGTCTCGACTCACTCCCGGGCGCCTGGCTTTCATCCCGGTTCGGTTTTGGGACGGTCCCAGGGCCAGCCGAGGACCCCTGTAGAGGCCGAGAACGGCTCAAACCTCCGTCTGGATTCTTGTTGGCTGCGTTGGATCTCGATCCTCGATCCTCGAGACGCCCCCCCGCGGCCGCGCTGGCGCCCGGGGTGCCCCTCGGCCGCGATGCGCCGCCGCCCCGCAGGGTAGGCGCCTGCCGCTCTGGGGGCGCCCCCCCAGGCGCGCGCCGCCCGGCGCAGGCGGTCCGCCGGCCGCTCTGAGGTCCGCCGCCGCCGCCGCTGCCGCAGCCGTGGCGGCCGCCGCCGCCGTCCCAGAGATCCAACGTAATGTCAGCTTGTGATTAACAAAAGGCCCCCCCCCCCCCCAGGGCTGATGAATAGACCCCGCGGGGCGCGATATTTTTTTTGATCACGCACGCCAGGGGGAAGGAGGAGAGAGGAGGGCGAGGGGGGAGAAGGAGGAAAAGCACCATCACTTGGCTGATGAGGGAGGCTAAGGGTTTGCCGACTCTAGCCCGAAACCTCGTGGCGCTGAGACACCAATGTTTTCCACTGCGGTCGAGAATGAACCAAGTAGCCGCAGAGACGGCAGAACGCTGCCGACGCTGAAACAAAAAGAAGGCGATGAAGGGCCCTGTCGCGAGAGAGCATGTACCTTCCCCCTGAAGCGAGGTGCCTGACACATGTGCAGACAGTGCGCGCACACGCACACGCACGTGCACGAGACTGTCACGAGGCGACGCTAGGAGGACGAGGCGCTGCCGACACCTGGTGTAAAGAACGCGCGTACGGTGGCAGGCCTCGCTGTGGGCTCATCCAGAAGCAGAGGGTGCAAGGGTCTCCTTGAGCCGATTTCGAACGAGGCCGCAGGCCACGTTTCGTCCCACAAGGCTAGGGGCCAGAGGCCCTCGGCGGGAGCCAGATCCCGACCCAAGCATCTTGAAACCAGGAGACTGGAAATGCTCTCACTTGGGAAAGCCTCACCACAGGGTGTAAGCCTTCGGTGCACGAAGGCAAGACTGGATGATGGCTCAACTCCGCTCTGTTATTGCGGCTCGAGCTCTTGCGGTGCTGCACTGGGGCAGCACGCTGAAATGGGGATGGGGGCCTGGAAAACCACTTGGCTCCTGTTGGACCCCTTGGGGTGCCTCCTTTCACACAAGGCGTGTCAGGCGCTTTGACTGAAAATGCTGTTGAATAATTTTTGAGGCATCGCTGGTGGCGCCGTTTGAGCGTACACTCGGTGTACTTTCCGCTGTTCTTGCAAGCAGTAGCGAACGATTCATTTTCAATCTTGCCAAAAACGAATAGATGGTGACCATTAGGTTGGAGTGCGAGCTTGGCCAGGCCAGCTGCGTTGCCTGGACGCTGTTCATGCTCTCTGGCCTTAAACGAGGCAGTGCATCTCGAGTGACAGACCATGCAAAACCATCGGCTTTTCCGACGACGCCAGACGTGGGCGGCACAAGCGGTCTTCGGGGCCCGCGGGGGGGGGGGGGGGGCGCAGCAGCCCCAGGCCCACTGGGGCCCCCACTGGAGTTGGCTCTGCCATGCCACGATGCCGAGATGGAAGCTGCACCAGCCGCAGGACTGGCGGCACGGGCTGGGGGCTCGGGCCCTCTGCCCCCCCCCACACCCCTGGGGCCACGCTGGGGCCACAGGGAGAGGGCTTCGGGAACATGCTGCAGGAAACGCTCCTCACGAGCAGCAAGCTCAGCAGGCGCGGCGCTCTCAAGCTCCGAGGGCCGGGGGAGCCGATTCGCAGCTATCTTCGCCACTCGGTCAGCTTCAGAGTTGCCCGTGGCGTGCCACCAGCGTGCCGAGAGGGGCTCAAGCTCGTTGACAAGCTGGTGGGCGTTGATTTCCACGACTGGCTCCGCCAGGCCTCGCGAGGGAGCCTCGACCATCAAACATGTTCTTCCTGCTGGCGCAACGGGAAGAATGGTGGACATCCGCAACTCCTTTAACATCGGAATTCATTATGGTGATGCCTCTGACCTTGCTGGCGGCTAGGTGGGCTACAAACTCGGCCGCTGGCGAGGTCGGGGGGGGGCCTGCTCCCCACAGGCGCAAACAGGTACGCCGCAAGAGAACCATCGGGCCCTAACTTGAGTAGGGCCCATCCAGGCGCGTAGAACCAAGGATGGCCATCCTTGGTTGTACTGCCGTCTACATGAACCTCCCCCCTGGTAGGCTTCTCTGGGCGAAAGGCCCTCTGCGGACCAGAATTACGAGGAAGCGGGGCTGAGGCCAGGGGGGCCCAGGGACCTTGAAAGTGAGAGGCTCAGGAAAACCAGCGCATTCTGCGAAGGCCTCAGGGCGTCTCAGAGCGTCCAGGTCCGTTGGGTCCAAGTACTCCTCTCGAAGCGGGGCTGTCGCGCTCCATTCCAGGAGCCTATGCCTGAGGTCATCCTTCGGGGCGCCGCAGATGCATTGGGTGGGGGGTCTCGTAGCCCGCTTCGCTGAGGGGGCTGAGGGTCCAGGTGGACTGGGTGAGGTAGGCGAGGAGGATGCGGCGGTCGCTGCTGGGCATGCCCTTCCTGCCGAGTGCCTGCTGGGCGTAGGACATACCGATGGTGTCGGAGCCTATATTGCGTGCTGCCGCACCTTCGGGGTCCTCCTGCCAAGCTGCAATCAGGAAGCTCTTCAGAAGGCCTGGCGAAGTGATTGGTGGCGGAAGCGTTTCCCCCGCGTGGCTGCTGAAGGCGAACGGGCGAGACCAGGTCCATCCTATCCTCTGCAAGCTGAGGTAGGTAGCTCTACGAGGGCCTCATACACTTCCCCATCCAGCAGGCGGGGGCTCGATGACGTTACTGGCGACACGGCGGAGTTCAGGATGGGCACCCGCGGCCTTGATGGGGGTTCTGGGAGGCTCTCCAAACGACCGAGCTCCAGTATTTACAAGGTCTCAGAGCTGAGCGCCAAGTGGGTCTTCCAGGGGGGCAGAGGAAATGCTGTGCTATGGGTAGCACACTTGGGTCCAGCACTCTTCAGGAACAGATCGCGGGCCTCCTGGAGCTCGTTTTCAGATGACCCCAACGCGCTCGGTCCAACGTGCCCAGCTTGTTGAAGCCCTATGTCCCAACGCTTCCCAGTCTCAGCACCTGCCGCTCCGAGAGCACGAAGCCTGCGTAGCCGGGACTTGCGCTTGATGACTGGCCCTTTGAATGTCCTCCTGGTCTTGCTCCTTAGTCTGGCTCCAGCTGTGAAATCTACGCCTAGGTTGGCTTCTGAAGGTTCGCGTCTGCCGTCGGCAGCCGCTGGTCCAGCCCACTGCCCGAGGCGCAGGGCGAGATCAGCCTGGGTCGCAGGCGACGAGGCCGCAACAGCAGCCTTGTGCTTGGCGAATTCACACTTAAGATCATTTGATGCATGCTAGCTGAGGCATTGACAAGGTCTCTGGTAAGGCACTCCTGGCTGCTGTTGTGGCGGAACAACAGGAAATCAGACATGGAAATCGTCGGCTGCACGCCGGGGTTGTTGACGACCCAAGTATCGACAGGCGGGAGACAGCACTGCCGCGCAACAGACGTAGCCGCCCAACAACCTGCGGCGATACCTCGCTGAGGGCAGCCTGCTGGCAGGGCGGAGGTACGAATGGTAACGAGGCGGGAAGCTTGGTATGGGTTACTGATAGTGGCTATCAAGGGGGTCCGAGAAATTCGTTTCCTTGGCCCTGGCCCTCCAAGAGGTCCTATCCACGCATTCGCAGTAGTTCGAGAGGCCCCAAAAAACAGCCCCAGAGGATACCTTCTTGTCCTCCAGGAAATTTCCCTCGGCGTACATGGCCTGCTCAACAACCGCCTCAAGAACTCCCTTGTCTGACTGGTGTGCAAGATACTTTCCATGGTGCTTGTGCTCCCAAGCTCGAAACTCAAGTTGGCGATGCTTGCCCCCGGACTCTCCAGAGCCCAGGCATCACCCTATCACCACGGTGGACCAGGGGTGGGACCAGCTTTGTGGTTTTCAGTGGTGGCGGCCGCGATGGCTCTGCTGGGAGTCGGGAACCAGCCTATCCTCTCAATGGCCCTGATGAGCCTACGAACGATATCCAAATGACGGTCCTCCAGGAGGCTGAAGTGCCCGGGGTGGATCCAGTCCCAAGTCCTTGCTGTGTTCGGGCTGAAACGGCGACTGGCTTGGCGGAGTTGCTCTGCTGATATCAATTCGAGTTCGGGGCCTCTCGCGTCAGCTTCAAGAAAATCTGGTTCCTGTGACGCTGCCTGCCACAGGTTCGATAGATGCAGCTGGTCGGCTTCGAAAAGGTCTACAGGCCGACCAGAGCATCTGGATAATTTGTGCCTCCAAATTCGGCTGGGCCTGGCGCAACTCTTCCAAAGACTCCTCCGCAGCGCCCCTCCTGATATCACTAGTACTATTCCTCAGCCGTCTGAAAGTTGCTGTCGCATTCCCCCAGCTCATCCTATCCTCGGCCTTGAGAGCGGGTGCTGGTACCCAGTGGACAGAAGAAGGTACCTGTGCGCGATATGTCTTTCAAAGCTTTCAGAGACCCACAACTCCTGTCCCAGACTGGAAGACGGTTGCTGGGTCCATATGGGGCCACGACTGTTAGATGCTGAGGATGCTGCAGGATCGGGATGATAGATGGGCCCAAACCAGCATTTCCATGACGACTGGCCTACGAGGGCTACTCGGGTGGCCCACTATGTTATAGGGCTGCTTCAGGAAACGCTCGAAACATCGGCACCCCAAGAAGCAATTATTGGTAGATTTGCTTTTCTTGGTGCGCAGGGTGAGCTTATCTCGAACGATGATCTGGACCCCAGCTCTGGAGATGAACTCGGTTTCACTCACCTTAGACGGCCCCGCGTTTAAATCGCTAGCCATGATGACTGGCAGCTGGTTGTTGGCGGCAATCTGGACGACGCTGGCAAGGGCACTCAGGTTGGCCTCATTCAGGCCGACGCTGTCCGCGAGATATATAGATCCTAGGCAGAAGGCGCGATGTCCTGGGACCTCGAGAGAAATGACGGTGGCATGCGACGTAAGGAAGTCGGCGGGCACGTCCAGGGAGGAGATGCCCCAATCGAGGCCCACAGGAATTCGGATCCCGGTGCCTTTGCAGGCAAACCCTGTCTGGACTGTAATCGCTGGTGAAGAAACTGCTAACCATCCCCTGTTAGCACACACTTGTTTTTCGCTGTCCGTTTTTTAGATCGAGTGCGGGTTTCTTGGCAACAAATCACCTGGACCCTTTGGCAGCTTCTGACTTGCGAACTCCTGTGCTACTGCTATTGTTGAGCGTGCACATACTCAACGCGTTACCCTTTAGACCCGCCTTGGCCCCTGGCCTCCTTCCTCTTGCAGCCGTCCCTGAAATCATGGTTGGAGCAGGGTCCTCTGGGACTGGCGTGTCTTGCGCAGCTGTGCTGCTGGGTTCTTCGGGTCCTTCGGGCTGCTCAGGTACTTTATGCTGATGCTGCTGCTCGGGGCTGGGGGGTGTGGCGAATGCTTCGCGCTTCTTCTCCTCCTTCCAGTGTATGTACAGCTTGGCGTTGACGCTCTCCAGCTCGTCGCGCAGACACTGAGGCACTCCCTTGCCGATTTTGCCGTCCACGAACTGGAGGAGGGTGGTCGGGGCCTGCTCGATCTTTGCTGCCGCATCGGCAGCGGCAGCCCGAGCTGACGTAGAATGCTGAGCATCTTGTTGCGAAACTTCACTTTGCAACTCGGCATAGCTTTGAATGGACTGGTCGTAGAGGTCGGCTGCCTTCTCGAGGCAGATGAGCTTCTTCTCCGCATCGCCCTTCTTGGCTAAAAGGCGGCGCCTTTGACGCTGGAGTTGGCCCGCCAAACTCGGGGTCTTGGCGTCGAGGCTCTGGCGGTTGAAATTCTGAAGGCTTGAGCTTTGGCCTGCTTGAGGTCCTCCTGGGCCTGCAGGCGCTGTTTCCCCGGGGCTTCCAGAGGGCGAGTGCTGCCAGGCAGATCTGAACTTCTTTTTGAAAAGCTGCTTGCTGGCCGTCACCGTCCTTGCCCTCGAGGGTGAGATCCACGGTACCACCGCCCGCGCGCCTGTCCCATCGATTGCGCTGGTTGGAGCTCTGGGGCTGGCTGCCACGATCTGCTTCGGGTGCTGCCTCCCGATGCTGACTGGCCCGCTGAAATTGTTTGCCACCGCAGCTTCAGTGCGAGTGCCCAGACTGATTGCTCCAGATCCAGCCCTTGTTGCGGGCAGTGCTGCTCACGGTGTAGCGCTGCTTCTGATGCTGATTCCACCTTTGGACATGGTGACAGTGCTTGGCCGTTGGCGGCTGCAGCCAGGCAGAGGAAAGTGGCAAAGACTAGGAACTCTTGGACCCAGCAGCGCGCAGCTCGACTGGCCTTGCAAGAAGCGGAAGCTAGCCTCGGACTAGAGGGATCCACTCTCTGTCCGAGGGAACAGAACATCTTGACCCAAAAGGGCTACGGGGAAGGAGGAGAAAAAGGCGGACGAGGAGGAGGAGGAGAAGGAGGAAGAGGAGGAGGAGAAGGAGGAGGAGGAGGAGGAGGAGGATGAGGAGGAAAGAGGGGGAGGGAAAACGGGGGGAGGAAAGGAGGGGAGGAAACGGGGGAGGCAAAGGGGGGAATGAAAAAAGGAGGAGGAGGAGGAGGAGGAGGAGGAGGAGGAGGAGGAGGAGGAGGAGGGGGAGGAGGAGGAGGAGGAGCAGGAGGAGGAGGAGGAGGAGGAGGAGGAGGAGGACGGGGAGGGTCGGACGAAAAGCTGGGGAAGGAAAAGGGGGGTTGCAAAGCCTGCTGCGCGCAGCTGGTTTCGGTCGCCCCGCCGAAAGGGTCAGTCCTGGACGCATGGCCGCTTTCGGCGCCAAGATGCGCTTGGAAAATCGGCGACGTGAGCTGTTTGGCAAATCCCGCCTTGGCTGCGCCCCACTTTCGTCCAGCCCTCCTTGCCCGCAGGCCCGCATCGGCTCGATAGACACAGGGGCACCGTGGCTCGCCTTTGCCTCCAACCCCCCCCCTTTGCCCTTCATTGGCGGCCAGGCGTCGGCGCTAATCACAGGCGCCGCCCCGTTGATTTTCAATCTGGCGGGCGTCACCCCGCGATTCGCCCAAGCGGGGGGACAATTTTCTTAAACGCGCGCCCCCCACGGACTTGTTAATCACAAGCTGACACTATTGAAAACAAAAGAGAGATTTTTCGCAATTTTCGGCCTCTCAGTGCCCTCGCCGGTCCCCAGGACCGTCCAGAACGGCTCCGGATCAAACGCCGGTCCTGGGGAAGGGGTCGGGACTTCCGGGGACCGCGCATGTCGGAAATCACGACATCGGGTCTCTGGGCAGAGGTGCCACTTTTTCGCAGGGGGCGTTTCCGCCTGGCTTCGGGCCCTAGGGGCTTCGCAGCTCGATCCGGCTCGGAAGTTTGTTCTTGGAGGGCGATCGTTTTTCCGCAATGTCAAAAATCGTAGGGCCGCCCCAAACCTACAACGCATTGCGCAAAACAGTCTGCATTGCTTATAAGTTTTCAGCCTCCTGGGGGTCTTCGCTGGGCCGAAGCGCCTTGGAGAACGACTTGGGATGAACAGCTGGCATTGGGGAAAGAGCCTGGGCGTTGTGGGCACCGGATGTCTGGGGTCGTTGTTGTGGCTGTCGCCCAGGGCGACGACCGCGTCGCCGCCGCCGTCGTCGTTGTCGTTGTTGCCGCCGCCGCCGCCGTCGCCGTCGTCGTCGTCGTCGCCGTCGTTGTCGTCGTCTTCGTCGCCGTCGTCGCCGTTGTCGTCGTCGTCGCGGCAGTCGCCCGGCGCGACGAGTGGGTCGCCGTCGCCGCCGCCGCCGTTTGCGTCGTCGTCGTCGTCGTCGTCGTCATCGTCGTCATCGTCGTCGCCGTCGTCGTCGTCTTCGTCGTCCTCGTCGTCGTCGCCGCCGCCGCCGCCGTCGTTTCCGTCGTCGTCGTCGTCGTCGTCGTCGTCGTCGTCGTCGTCGTCGTCGCCGCCGCCGCCGTCGTTTCCGTCGTCGTCGTCGTCGTCGTCGTCGTCGTCGTCGTCGTCGTCGTCGTCCTCGTCCTCGTCCTCGTCCTCGTCCTCGTCGCCGTCGTGGCCGTCGATCGCCGAAGGCGACGGCCACGGGAAACGGCGACGACGGCGAGGGCCCCTCCCCGGGGTATCGCCCCTGGACCTCGGGAAGCGGGGCCTTTCGGGGGGCCCTGCTTCCTGACCCCCCTCCGGGCACTGACAAAAATCACGACGGTCGGTTGCTGGTTATTGTCAACCTCCAGAAACTACGCAGGAAGCAAAACTGGTCCCGCAGAAGGGGTCGAGACCTCCAGGGGTCGACGTTATGAAAAGTGCTGGCGTCGGGGGGTTGGGCTGGGGGCCCTCCTGGGGCCCCGCCCCCGAGAGGAGGCCATAATCTAAGGGCACTGGCGTCGTTGAGGGGCAACGAGAATTGGGGCGGGACCGGCCGAGGGGGGGACACGTCGACCTGGAATCGGCGATGCATCGCCGATAGATCGGCGATCGTTAGGCCCCCGATAGCAGTTCCGCACCTTTTCGGGCGGGGTCCCCCCGCGGCGGGGGGTGGGGCTATCAGACCCCTATCGTCGATCCATGGGCGATTGGGGATCGATGCGCCCCCCTCCTCCCGTTATGCCTCTTCCCCCTTTTGCTTCATGTCGGCGGCGAGCGAGGGGGGAAGTGAGACGGAGAGGGCCTTCTCAGAAGTCGGCGAGGCTTCCCAGAAGCCCTCCGGCCTTCCGGAAGGTGTTCTGTGTCTTCGTGGAAGGTTTAGAAAACGACTCAGACGGCATCAGGTTTCCGAGCCTTTGAAGAAGGCCTCCTCCTTCTCACTTCCCCCCCCCCGGCTCGCCCCCGGGAATGGGTCGTGAAGGAAGCGGGCCCCGAAGTTTTGAGCGCCGTGGCCGGGCCTCGGGCCTCCCTGGGGCCCAAGGCTGGCTTCCTCGGCTGGCCGGGGCTCTGATCTGCTCGGCGGACTGGGCGGAGGCGGAGCACCGGGTTTGCAATGCGGGGTCTCGTGTTTGGAGTGCGTTCGTAGATTTCGGGCGCTTGGGCCCGTTTTCGGGGCCCGAGGCTGGGAACAACTGACCCGGGACGACAAAACTGCCCCCGGAGGCAGGGGCCAGGACCTCCCCGGGGCCGCGCGGTGGAAGGCCCACGTCGGAGTAGGTCTCGGGACATCAGCGTCTCGATTGCACCCCCGCTGGGGTTCGCATGTGAGGCGTTCTCAAAAGGGGCCTCGCCCTTGAGGATATAAGGAGTTGTGAACTCTTCCTCTGCGAGCGGACGGAAGTAGAAGTCGATCCCCGAAGAGATGGCACGGTTTTTGGGCTCAGGGTTTTCGGAACCCGCCACGTGAGCGACGCCACGAAACGGGGTCGTCGGCGCCGACATTCGCGCGTAAGCTGCCCGCGTGAGGTCGTGCGTAAGCGCCCTCGTCTCCACTGGCGTGCAGCGCCGGCGGCCCGCGCAAAAGCCCTGCGTAGGGTCGCTGCGCCATCTCGCGCAAGACCCGTTTTTCATCGTCGCTCACGTGGCTGTCCATCTCGTGAGACCCCCCCGCAGGCGCCCCAGGGCGCCGAGACGGCGGCGAAGCCGCCGCGGCGGGTGGGTCAGTGCCGGCGGCGCTTCGCGCGATGTCGGAGAGCTTCCTCCTCACGCGGCAGCCCAGCGGCGCCGGCGCGCCCCCTGTGGCGGCGACGCCGGACGCCGCGGGGTCTGGCTCCTCCCACAGCCTGCCGTCGTGCCTTGCTGTGGGGCCAGGAGCCTTCAGTCGGGCCTGTCGCTCTGCAGGAGGAGCATGCAAAAATCATTAGTAAAAGAGATCGCTCAGGGACGATGTTTCGACTGTGTGTATCAACTTTTATTTTTTTGGGGACTAGTTTTTTATTTTTCGTCCAAAATCGCCTGTAGGGGGACATGCCCGATCTAACCTTAACCGGGCCCCGCGGCCGTCAAAAGTCGACTCGGGATGACAAGCGGGTCCTGGGGAACGGGTCGAGAGCTCTGGGGGTCGACGTCATGAGCAAAAAGCACGACGTCGTGGGTCTGGGGCTGGCGGCTCTGCATGGCATCCTCTGCCCTCCCCCTCCCTGTTTCGCCACGAACCGGGGGCGAGCCTGGGAGGGAAGTGAGAAGGGGCGGGCTTTCTCAGAAGGCTCGGAAGTCCTGGGGCCTTCTTTCAGGAGTTCTCTAAGCCTTCCACGAAGACGCAGACAGCTTTTTCAGAATGCGCGAGGGCGAGGTGCCGCTGGCTTCTGAGAAGGCCCTCTCCTTCTCACTTCCTCCCCTAGCTCGCCGCCGACATGAAGTAACCGGGTAACCGGATCTAAGTGGAGGGAAAGGCTCTGGGGCGACGATATAGGGGGAATAGGCGTCAGGGGGGGATGCATCGATCCCCAATCGCCCATGGATCGCCGATACGGGTCTGATAGCCCCACCCCGTCCAGGAAGGTCCGGATCTGCTATCGGGGGCCTATCGCCGAACTATCGGCGATGCATCGCCGATTCCAGGTCGACGTGTCCCCCCCTCTGCCAGTCCCGCCCTATCGTTGCCCCTCAAAGTTCCGATTTTTTCGAGCCAGGCATTTGCGCTGGGTCTCGCTCACTGGGGCCCTCACACGTCGATCGGCCTCGAAGAACGGCGCAGAACGATGGGGTCCAGAGCTCCGGTCGTGATGTTGCGGCCCTCCGCCGGCCCCAGAGCTGTCAAGAACGACTGCCCAGGACGAGGAGCTGGTCGTGGGGGAAAGCAAGGGACTCGTTCGCTTCATGCAAGCATCGGCGTCGGAGGAGGGGGAGGACCGAGTGAGGGTAGTTTGTGTTTCTTTGCGCGCGCGCGTGTGTGTGTGTGTGTGTGTGCGTGCGTGCGTGCGCGCGCGTGCGTGCGTGCGTGCGTGCGTGCGTGCGTGTGTGTGGAGCCCTGCCTGCGTCACTCACTAAGTTAGGCGGTTTTCCTTGCACGCCGACTTGCCTTGCGCAATCACCCACCTGCAACATGATCTTTAGCTAGTGCCCAAATCCATCACTCGCGATGGAGCCGTCACCCTGCAAGAGGAATGACAGCGCGCGCGTCCGTCCATCTGTTATCGTGACTTTGTGTACTGTGTGTCACATGTCGCATCGTCAGGAGAGGGTGCGGTTTGCCTTTTCGGCTCGCCGTTGGCCCTCTTCCCTCCGCCCCTCTCCCTCCCTGACCTGCCGTTCTCGCTATACTCTCACGCCTTCTGGTCCTGCACTTGCCCGCTCCGCGGCCGCCTGTGCCCGTCCCTCGCTGCAGGAGCACGGTCCAGCGTCCGCAGGCACGCGTCTCGTCCTCGCTTCCCTTGTGCAGCTGGTTGTACTCCATCGGCGCGACGTCGGTCGACCAAAAAGCAAGCGACACCACCCCACCTACGGCCCTCCATGTTGTCCGCGCGAAAACCCACGCCAGATCTCCTGGTGTACGTTCAGCCCCGGGGGCCGTAGGTGGGGTGGTGTCGTGTGTTTTCTGGTCCAGGAGGGGAGCTCTGTAGTGTGTGTGTGTGTGCAAAGCCAGCATTGTGTGGTTTCCTGTGGGTGACTCCTATGCTCCCCGCCTGGCGCTGCGTGAGGCCCAGGCCGCACGCGTTCGGACTTCTTTGCTTACTTGCTACGCCGCGTTGCTTCGCGCACGGCCGCGATGCCATACATATCTGTGCATTTATACACATGTAGTTGTACATAAGTGAATGTGTATGTAGATGCACAGGTACATGTATGTGTACCAGTACATGTATAGGTATATGTACATGTGTATGTAGGTGTAGCTACTATAGGTCCTGTGCGTGCATTTTGGTGTATGTACATTTATATGTTTCTCATTATGAACGTGCAGTTATGTTTGTACGATGTGCGTAGGTATATTTAGAGGAGCGTGTATGTGTATTGGTACGTGTACGTGTCTACGTTGATGTAACGTTCTGGGTTAGTATACAAACATGTGTATATTGATGTGTGAACGCGTAGGTATTTGTGAATGCGTATGTATACTTGTATGCATATCTATGTGTACTCGTATGTGCATTTGTTTGTGAGTACGTTCACCTGCAGATGCATGCATCCACGTATATTCATATCTGTATAAAAATATTCGGATTTGTAGAATTACACATACACATGTATGCATGTCTATGTAGGTGTGTGTACACCTACGTATTTCTTATGCGTGTGTACATGTACGTTGTACATTCATGTGTCCAGTATCTGTATGCGCATCTCTTGTACAGTTGTATGCGTATGCGTGTTTCCTATGTGGTAGTGCGTATGCGTATGTATAAGCGAACGTAGGTTTACATGTATATGCGTATGTAGGTCGATATGACCATACAGTTGTGTATGTATGTGCATGTGTATTCCTCGGGTCTGTTGGCGCCTATGTCTATCCAGGTGTATGTGCATACGCACTCGTATATGTGTAAACATGTGCATCTTTAAATAGTACTGGAACTCTAGCTTCAACTGTTTATTTATATATGTATATATATATACGCTTAGGCGTCTCTATATGCATAGGTGTATGTATATGTATATGCATGTCTAAGTAGACTTGTATACATGTATTCATGTGTGTGTTTGTTTACGTTGCGCGTAGATGTGTATATGTCTATGTATGTTCAGATATAGGTATATGAACTGTGGCTATATATGTAAATGTGTATACATGTAGATGTAACTACTGCGAGCTGCCCTAAAAGGATTTCTGGAGACTACCAGGAGATGCCGCACACTCAGCTCTTTCCGTAATCACGCGTTGGCTCATACAGGGGTTTCGGCCCGGTTGGAGGCATACGCCCGTGTGCCTGGGCTGATATTGGATACAAGGTTCAGGGATAGCTGACGCTTCTTCCCGCAGCTCCACCGTGTCCGGTGGTAGCGGGGCTGGCAGAAGCTCCGCGCGGAGTGCCAGCGTACTTCGGGAGTGGGGCGAGCTCACCGACCGGATTCTTTTGGACGACAGTACGGTGGACAGTGATTTCTCGGCGGAGAAGAAGTGACCGATCCCAGTACCATGGGAGATGACGGAGAAGACGGCGAACAGGAGTATGTGGCTCCAATCGGCGAAAAGGCGGTCCAGGCGCGAATGCCGGTAGGTATGTTCTGCCGCCCGTCATCAAGGACTCGACCGAGGAGCTGCGTAAGTATGTTCGGAGGCTGAGGATCTGGTCGAAGGTGGCGACGGGGATCCCAGTTCAACAGAGGGGTCTCCATGCGTACTACAGTATCCTGGAAGGCGGCGACGACCAGATCCAGATTATCGTCGAAGGTCTTGACCAGAACGAGCTCAAGGGCGAAGACGGCGTAGATAATGACGTCAGGGCGCTCGAACAGGAGATCATGCCGAATATGGTGCACGCTGATTACCTAGATTGCGAGCACACCTTCTACGGGTCGGAGCGTAAGAATGGAGGGGCTTGCAGCAACATTCCATGAAGATCAAGAAGGCCTTTGACAGGCTGAAGAAGCTGCAAGTCACGCTGGCTGACGTGCAGGGCTACCTCCTCGTGCGACAGCTGGACCACGCCGAGCGCGCGGCGGTGATTTTGCAGACGTTCAGCTCACTGGCCTAGGACGACGTGAGGACGGCGCTCAAGTGGCTCCGCGACGACAGCTCGCTCGAGAAGACCACCGGGAGCTACCAGGGTGTCCGCTCGGGACAGAGCCGGACGGCGAAGGCGTCCCAGGTGGACGGGGGCGAGGAGCCCGACGAGGACGAAGACCCGATCACCCAGGCCCTGATGGCGCTCGAGGGACCCGACCAGGAGGACACCGAGGAGGAGGACATCATCGACGGGCACGAGGCCTACGTGGTGCTGGCGGCGTGGCAGGCCAGGCCTGGGGAATGCGGCAGCTGGCAGCAGACGCGGAGGATTGTCGTGGGCCGCAAGACGTCCGGGGGCTACCGCGACCACAGCGCGCCCTTGAAATCCGGCGGTCGTGGCAAGACCAGCGCGGAGTGCCAGATGGAGGCGCGCAAGAAAACCGAGGAGCTCAAAAGGACGACCCGCTGCCGTCGATGCGATCAAGTGGGCCACTGGACGAGTGAGAGAGAGAGAGAGAGAGAGAGAGAGAGAGAGAGAGAGAGAGAGAGAGAGAGAGAGAGAGAGAGAGAGAGAGAGAGAGAGAGAGAGAGAGAGAGAGCGCAGGAATTCTCGCAAAGAGCGGCGCCGAACAGGCCAGGGCGGCGTGCCGCGCCGACGATTCTGAGGAGCTTGAGAACCTCCACGCTTCTGACCTGGAGGAGGAGCAGATCGGCGCCTCCAGCGCCGAGGCCGCGGAGGACTCGCCTCCGCCAGAGCCGGAGGACGACGCCGTGGAGATCAAGAACCGAGAGCGCCGCCTGCGTGCAAAGGCACGCCGGAAGGCCGCGCAGGCTGAGCAGGCCTCTAGCGCGGCCCGCCCAGGTTTCGGGAGTGCATCGAGGAGGCCAAGAAGCGTCTATCTCGTTTTACACCAGCTCAGCTTCTAGGTATCTTGGAGGGCATGGTCGACGCGTTTTTGTTTTTTTTTGTTTTTTTTTGTTTGTTGTTTTTTTTGTGTGTTTATTTTCCTTTTTTCTGGGCTGGTCGTCGGGGGTCTTTCGATTGCACTTCGCGACTTTGCTGTTCGCATTTCCTTGGTATGTGTATCGGATGCGCCCCGTGTGTAAGCGGGAGTTTCCATTTCGCGAATGGCCAGGCTGCGCAGC